CCTCCTTGCCGCCCATGGCCCGACGCGTAGGTGCTGCGCCGGGGCGGCCGCCCTCGCCGGGTACACCAACGGCGGGTCGTTGCCGCCCTCGAGGTACGTCAGCACGCCCTCGAGTGTGCGGCCGGGGACGCCCCACCACAGGTGGCGCCCCTCGCTGTTCTGTCGGCCGCCAACCACCGGCGCGCCATTGATGGACGCCAAGCGCTGCTGCTGGCGGTGCTCGAAATACGTCGCCCAAGCCGCGTGGTTGTCGGCGGCGTACTGGGGGAGGGAGAGTTGGGCGTCGGTGAGGGAGGCGCGCACGACCTCGACTTCCTCGGCGAAGTACTTCGGCTTCGCCACGGCGTCGGGCAACGGGGGAATGGGCACTCCCCCGGCGCTGAGCCTCCACCCCGTCAGCCCGGCGCGCATGTCCGGCGGCGCCGGGATATTCGCCTGGAACAGGAGCCAGGACTGCTGTTCGCGGAGCGAACGGCGGCCGAAGCCGTTGTCCGCCGCCTCGTCTCCGGGGTAGCGTTCCGCCATGGCGACGGGCTCGGGAGAGGTAGAGAGATAGAGGAAAGGGCTGGGCAGCGGCGCTCGGGAGAGGTAGGGAGAGGGAGGAGCTGGGCGGCGGCGAGGGGCGGGGCTGGTGTGGGCACAGGCGAGTACAGGCCACCGGCTATATAGCCGCGCCGCACCCGTGTGTACGGGTGCGAGGGAGGGGAGGCGTCGGCGCGCCGTCCCGTGACGCGTCACCCGTGAGGAATCAATGGCAAGGCTGACCGGCGGCAGCCTTGGCATTTATTCCTCGCGGGAACCGAGGCCGTTGGGGGAAGACGAGGCGCCGTGTCGCTGACGCGGCGGGCCCGCGGCTGTTTCGCGCCAAAATAGTTCGCCCCGGCGCCCCCGGGCGCCCCCGACCGCGCCGGGTTCGGCCTGGGTCCGCCGACGCTGTTTTCGGCCCAGGCCGGCGAAAATTGGGCTCCTGGGGGCGCGACTGTGCCGTTTTTTTGGCGCCGGCGCGAAAAAATCGCCTGGGGAGGCCTTCCTGGGGGCGCGGCTGGAGATGCCCGAAGCCCCACTGCCGCACCCCTCTCGAGCTCCTCTCGATTGCAGGCTTACGGGCCTAATTGTCACTGATATGCCTGATGGGCCTACTGGGCCTTCTGCGGGCCTGAATCCTGGCCCATGGTAGGGTTTCCAGTCGTATTCATGCCGTGGTGGCCCAGTAGTTGGCACCTTTTTTGTTGCTTTATTTATTTTATTTTGCTTCTACTTACAACAAAAAACGTATTGTTGCTATTTTTATTTATTTTATTAAAGTTTATTTATTTTACTTTATAAAGTTTATTTTATTTCCACTTCTTTATTTTATTCAAGTTTATTTTATTTTGTTTCTACTTATTTATTGTATTGAATTTAAATTTATTTTGTTTCTACTTATTTATTAAAGTTTATTTAATTTACTTTATTAAAGTTTATTTTGTTTCTACTTATTTATTTTATTAAAGTTTATTTTATTTAATTTTGTTTCTACTTATTTTTTTAATTAATTTTTAATTTATTTTATTTTGTTAATTTCCTTTTTGCTATTAAAGAATATTAAAGTTTATTAGAGTTTTATAAAAGTTTTTAGTTAATTTTATTTTTGCTATTAAAGAATATTATAGTTTTGTTTTTACTTATTTCTATTATTTTATTTTTGCACTTCATAATTTTTCATTTTTTAACTTATTTGAACTTCATAGTTTTTCTGTGTTCAAAATGCACCATTCAAAGCCACGTCATCAATTTTCAACACTTTTTGACTTCATTTGTTATTTTTCATGTATTTACTGATTATTTTGAGCTATAAGACCCTAAAATTAAAAAGCATTTCAAATGAACTCTGAAAATGTTGAAAGTTGGCATGGTATCATCATTTCATCCACCAAGCATGTGCAAGAAAGTAGAGAGGGTTACGGCAAAAACTTGATGCACTTCATCTACAAAACAGACAATCTCTTTTGAAGTATCTGGGTTTCATAGGGAAACTCGTCTGTTACAAAGGGATTTCATTTTTTTAACTTATTTAAACTCCATAGTTTTTCTGTGTTCAAAATGCACCATTCAAAGCCACATCATCAATTTTCAACCCTTTCTGACTTCATTTGTTTATTTTCGTGCATTTACTGATTAGTTTGAGCTATAAGACCCTGAAATTGAAAAGCATTTCAAATGAACTCTGAAAAGGTTGAAAGTTGGCATGGTATCATCATTTCATCCACATAGCATGTGCAAAAAAGTAGAGAGGGTTACGACAAAAACTGGATGCACTTCGTGTACACAACGGTCAATCTCTTTCGAAGTATCAGGGTTTCATACGGAAACTCGTCTGTTACAAAGGGATTTCATTTTTAACTTATTTGAACTCCATAGTTTTTCTATGTTCAAAATGCACCATTGAAAGCCACATCATCAATTTTCAAACCTTTCTGACTTCATTTGTTATTTTTCATGCATTTACTGATTATTTTGAACTATAAGACCCCAAAATTGAAAAGCATTTCAAATGAACTATGAAAAGGTTGAAAGTTGGCATGATATCATCATTTCATCCACATAGCATGTGCAAGAAAGTAGAGAGGGTTACATTAAAAACAAATTACATACATAGTTCTCATTGAACAACATATAGCTCTCCCGAGCATCTACTTAAACCATACATTGAAACTATGTAAAACCTTTCAATGCAACAAATGCGATCATAATCACAACCAAGGTAAAAATTGATCCAACGGCATAATGATACCAAGCCTCAGTATGAATGGCATATTTTCTAATGTTTCTAATCTTCAACCGCATTGCATCCATCTTGATCTTGTGATCATCCACGACATCCACAACATGCAACTCCAATATCATCTTCTCCTCCTCAATTTTTTTATTTTTTCTTTTAAGTAATCGTTTTCTTCTTCAACTAAATTTAACCTCTCGACAATAGGGTCGGTTGGAATTTCCGGTTCAACTACCTCCTACATAAATAAAATCTATGTCACATTGGTCGGCATAATTGTCATAAAAAATAAATGAACCAAATAGTTATAAAAAATAATATATACCACATCTGAATTTATTATTGCTTGTTGTTATTTAGTGCAATAATATATACCAAAACCATCGCACTATATAATAACAAGCAATAATAAAATTTAGGAAATTAGACAAATATCTATTTAAAGTAAGAATTATTTTGTCTTTCAGAAAGAAGATAAGAACAAGAGGCTCACCACGGTGGTGCCGGCGACGAGATCGGCGCGGGCGATCGACGGCGGTGAAGACGGGGACGGGACGTGACGGACCGCTAAACCTATGCAAATCTCAGGGAAAATGGAGTTTGGAGGTCGAGTTTTGGGATGAGAAAGCTTAACTAGTGCGGCTCGGGCATTTCATCAAACACCTCATGTGCATAGGAGGTGAGCTAGAGCGCCCAAATGCCCTCTCCTCGCCGGTCAGAAAAAACAACACTGTGGAGTGCTCTGCTGCGGCGATGGGGTATATATAGGCAACTCATTTGTCCCGGTTCGTGGCAGGAACCGGGACTAAAGCCCAACCTTCTGTCCCCGTTCAAGCCAAGAACCGGGACCAATGGTTGTGGGCCAGGAGTGAGGCCCATTGGTCCCGGTTCGTGCCTAGAACCGGGACAAATGGGTCCATACGAACCGAGACCAATGCCCACGAGGCCCCGGCCGGCCCCCTGGGCTCATGAACCGGGACGAATACCCCCATTGTCCTGATTTGTGACTGGACCGGGACTAATGGGTTTGCCATGCCCGAACCAAAGCCCTGTTTTCTGCTAGTGAACTATGCAATTATTTATTTTAGTTTTTATTCTCATATTGTTAATGTAAATACTAATATTGCATACAACCAAATCACATTGAAATCATTGTAATCGATTTCCACAGCAACACGCGGGTCATCTCTAGTTAATCCTAGCGCACGAACAAGATGCCTTCGATCAATCCCATACATGGATCGCATTGTACAAGTCAATTGCACGCTCGGCGATTGATCGATTAATTCCAATTTAATTATTCACACACCACTCACTAATTAATGATTTTGATCGCAAGGTCATCCTGAAAAAACATAATCTGGAAAAAAAATTGACAAGGATATACTAAGTATTGCTTTTGTAGTGATGAGGAGTCGATTCAACATCTATTCCTTCGTTGTCCACTTGCCAAGCTATTATATATAGTGATATGTACATATAGCTTTTAATCTACCACCGCCCACGAATAGTAAGAATATGTTCGAAAATTGGTTAGTGGGGTGCATCCGAAGTTGAAGTGTCTGATTCGTATGGGAATTTGCACTTTACTTTGTGTCATTTGGAACATTCGTAATGATTGTATTTTTAATAGAACTGAAGGTTTTTTTATAGGTTATCTTCAAGGCCATCAGCTGGATCCATACGTGATTGTTACTACACAAGGATGAGGATCGGGCGTCATCTTTGATAAAGCCGATGAAAGATGGTCGTTCGGAATTTATTCAATCAATTTGGTTGGCGGCCTACTAATAAGAATTGTGATGCATGAGACTCATGTCTCCATGATTTTATTTTATTTTCCTAATTTACCTTTGGGGCAGCAGCCATGTGTGATAGCTTTTGTTGAAATTTATTGTTATTGGATGTTGAACTTAAATATTTAATAAAAAATGTGTGCGTCACTCGATGCAGAGGCTAAGGGTATCCCTCTCTTTTTTCCACGAGCTCCGTTTTGCAAGCAACACAGAACTTTGACAACACCGATCGATCGAACTCGTCGTATCCGGCCGATGGGTACGGACGATTTCAAAATGTTAGAGCTCTCATCGTGATGAAATACATGTGGCTAACGGAAGTTGGCCAGGCACTACGTAGGACATTACAAATAGCCTTCCAGCGGAAGTCTGGCCGGGCAGCAGGGCAGAACTGATTGAGTCTAGCTCGAGGTCGAAACCATTACTTTCTATCCACATCCACCACAATGGCGGTGGCGTCGACTCCGCCTCTGCAGCTTGTCATAGCCGCGCTTCTTGCGCTGTCCCTGTCCACGACAGCGTCCTCGTCGCCTGCGCCGGCGAACCGGAGCAGCTGCTACAAGCGTCTATTCAGCTTCGGCGACTCTCTGACCGACACCGGCAACTACATCATCCACTACTCGAACGCGTCAGGGCCGGTCCTAGCGCTGCCATACGGCGAGACCTTCTTCGGCCGCCCTACCGGCCGATGGTCCGACGGCCGCCTCATCATCGACTTCATCGGTAAGTGTATGGACGACACGTCGACATCTGCTTAGTACTTACATGCATGATGCATGACAATTGTTTCGTGCAGTGGAGAGGCTGGGGTTCCAGTACTGGCCGGCGTACCTGAAGGGGGCGGCCGGGAAGTCGCCGGCGGAGGAATTCCGGTACGGCACCAATTTTGCGGTTGCGGCCGCCACGGCGCTGAGCCAGGATTTCTTCCTGGAAAAGAACCTCAGGGTGGACCTGCTTACCCCGAGCCCGATCCCCCCTTACTCCCTCGGCGTCCAGATCGACTTGTTCAAGAAAGTGCTCGCCATGCTCGCCTCCACGGACCAAGGTAACGTGTACCACATAAATAGAGCAAAACCAGAGCAATTAAGTGCACGGATGGCGCCATGGCTACGCAAACGCGCTGACCATACACTATCTCCTACCATATCATCACCGCATCACGGCCATGCAGAGAGGAAGGAGGTGATGTCGAGCTCGCTGTTCCTGGTGGGGGAGATCGGCCTCAACGACTACAACCACCCCTTCTTGCAGAACAAGACCCTGGAATGGGTCAGGCCCCTCGTGCCCCAGGTCATCAGCTCCATCGTTCTGTCCATCGAGGCTCTGATCGAGCTAGGCGCCAAGACCATGTATGTGCCGGGCATCTTCCCGCTGGGGTGCACCCCGCTGTACCTCTCCCTCTTCCCCGGCGACGACCGCGACCCTGCCACGGGCTGCCTCCGGGGGGTCAACGACCTCATCCTCGCCCACAACCACATGCTGGAAACCAAGCTTGAGGAGCTCCGCCGTGACCACCCCGGCGTGTCCATCACCTACGTCAACTCCTACGACAACGTCCTCGGCCTCATCACAGCGCCCACCCAAAACGGCAAGCGCTAGCAAGAATCCTACCATGGCAACACATCATGTCCAGAACGGCTTTGATTTACTGTATTATTTTCGTGCTGTGGATGCAGGGTTCGACAAGGAAACGGTGCTGGAGGCGTGCTACCCCGTCTTCATTTCTGGGTCGGCGGCGGTTCCGTGCGTGGACCCGTCCAAGCACGTGAATTTCGACGGCCTGCACATGACGGAGGCGGTGTACAAGCTCATGGCCCGCGGGATGCTCGACGGCCCGTTCGCCGCGCCGTCCATCATGTCCACCACATGCAACCACGGCTGCTAGACCTATGTCTTGCTTTCGCAAATGATCTATATTCAGATAGTGCTTGTTGCATCTGGTTGTCAAAGGGTCATCAATAAATACTCGATCACGATGGTGCGCGTTGCAGCACCTCCATTTTTCCAATAAATTAATAGTACTTTTTGTAATATATAAAGTGACATGTACAGTACTCCTATATTATAAGAAGAAACGATAGTTTCGTTGTTATGTGGATATGACAAATTACAACCTGGTTCTGAGTCCTCCTCCTTCTCCAAAACAAAAGGTAGGGTTCCTATCTCTCGCCGGCGTCGCCGTAGGTCCACCTCGTCTCCGTTGGTCCAAAGGCCATGGGGACACAATGGATCCTGGCAAGGACCGGCGGAAGGGCTCCGTTTCTAGTCATTTTCTTAAGTTTTGTTAGGGTTTTTGTTTTGCTCAGGAAGGCAAGACGGCGGTGGCTCTCTGTCAATGGAATAAAGGTCTCGCCGCCTAGTCCTCGTTTTGCGGTGCGTCTAGCATCGTTAGTGGACGTGTGGAGGTGTGGCTCCGGCGGATCTATCTTTGATCGATTTGCTCGGATCTCGTCGTTGTCGTCTACGTTCATGTGTTTTCTGTTTTGATTTTTCCGATCTATATTATTCTTCATCGATGGCGGTTGCTGTTATGGTGCGCTGATTCTATGAAGTCTTAGCACAGCGACTTCCTGACTATCTATTACAACAAGTTGTGCCCGACTATGGTGATGGAGGGGCGATGACGGCGGCGCGCCTTCGGCTCGCTTTAGTGCTTGTAGTCGTTACTAGGTGGTCTATGGGTCTAGATGTAATTTTTATTATTTCTGATGTTCATTATACTGCCATGACCAATGATTGAAGATGAGATCAGAAGTTTTCCCAAAAAAATAAATACAACCTGATGTACACGCTTTGTTGTAAACTACTAGTAATTGGCCTTGGTAATGTTCGAAATCTTCATCCAGCTAAAGATTTGTTTTGAAAGGAGCGCTACTCTGCATTCCATTAGGCAGATATGTTGGACAGATCGCCAGCACATAGGTCGATTAACAGAGCACCATGCCCTTCTAACTCATGCGCTACATAGCTACAGGACCTCCGCTGCACAAAGAGAATACAACCATCATAAGCAACACACAAGGCTTTAATTCCTTTGTTGTAACTTCAGCTTTGATGCATCCATTTCCAGCTCCACCTTCCTACATGCCTATATCCCATGGCTGAAGTGATTCGCACAGCTTGAAGTAGTACTAGAGCTTAAAAATGTAGGACACTCGAGATTTCCTGAAGGTGTCCTTGGCTCCTTGCCATGCCGCAAGCGCTTGTTTTTTTTTGAAAGATCCAGCGCTGATGGCTGGCCTATATTGATCTTTAGCAAAGAGCATAGGGGAATACAAAAAGGTCGTGTTCGATTCAGTGATCAAGGAGATAAAAAGAAGAACAGGAAAAAATACAGCCCTCAGGCGATGTAAAAACATAATTTCTTACGACGGGTTTTCAAAGGGGTGCTCTAAGAGGGTTGCCCCTACCTGTCACCAAAGCTCTATGGCTCTTCTGATGCTTGTTGTAATATCCACTGAGCGGGCGACCTTGCTTGCTGTAATATAATCATTGATCTTACAGCCTTTTTGTGATCCGGTCTTGCTCTGTTGATCATTGCTTTTGTGATCTCGGTTGCCTTTGTCTTGCTCTGCCAGGAGTTTGGATGAAGTGAGCTATATCCAAAACCCTCAGCCGCTTTTGACCAAACTGCCAGTGAAATGTTGCACTTCCAAAATAGGTGTTCGGAGCTTTCTAAATTTCTCAAACACGTTTAGTAGAAATACTCATTTGGCCAATCTCTTCTCTGAAGTTGATCATTGCAAGAGTTTGTTCTTGTGGCTTGTGCAACAGCGAAACAAAAACTTTGAGGCGAGCAGGTGCCCATGCCTGCCAGAACAGTTTTCTGAAACTTCGCTTGATCAGACCATGAAATTGGAATTTGTAAGCCGAGCTTGTGGACAAGGTGCCTAAAGCTTCATGGTTGCATTTGATTGTGTCCCAGCGCTGCTCGTTGAGCTGCAGATTTCTTGAGAGCAGCCATCGCTGCTGTCTGATCTCCTTGCCATGGGCGAGATTCGCGACAAGTGTGATTTGTCAGTGCTGCCTTTACTGTCCTGTTCTTTCTTCTGGAATGCTTGAATACCCCAGGGTAGTCCATTTTCAAAGTGCCGGAGCCACTCCAGTAGCAGTTCCAGAAGGTGGCCGTTGCGCCGTCGCCCAAGTTCACCGTGGTGGATGCACTGAAGAGGGCTCTGTCGCCGACATCGCTCGGCAACTGTGTGCCCACCCATGGTCTCTCTGGGTTTTTCCAGAAGTGGCAGAGCCATCTGAGCCTTACTGCTCTGCTGAACTGTGGTAGGTCTGCTGAATAGACAAAGAACGTACAAAATCCATGTCCGTTTGGGTCGGTGTATGTTGGAGTTGCCCTAATGCATTGACCCGATTTCTCACCATAGAATTCTTGTGAGTTTAAACTGTGGCACACAAAACAAGAATGGGACACATACGTGGAAAACCCATGCGGAGAAAAACCACATATGCGTGAAGGCACAATTTTACTATGACGGAGAATATTACAAGAACAAGACGACATGTCCTACATGGATATATACGAGCATCAATACATAAGTTACGCGTTGAAATCAACACCAACGCCCCCACATCATTCGTACTAAGTCTAGCGCAAGAAGGTGCCGTGTCCAACAGAATCAGAGGCACAAGTCTGGCTGGCATACATGTACATAGCTGCGCGCACAAGGCACAAGTAACGCAAGCGGCAAGCTGGTCCCTCGCTCACCGGCGCTTCCCCTTGGCGCTGCCGCCGCCCGCGCGGTGCTGCGGCTGGGGCGCCTGCTTGCCGAAGAGGCTGCAGAAGCCGCAGGCGGCGACGCGCGGGGAGGGTGGGTCGAGCGCCGGCTGGACGTGGCCCGCCCTGTACCCGCCGTGCCCCCCGCTGGAGCCGCTCCGCTGCATCCGCGCCGGGGCCGCCGCCTCCTTGCCCGACGCCGACAGCTGCTGCTTGTCCTCCCACACCATCCCCGACGACCCCGACCGCCGGAACGTCTCGCTCGACCGCTGCAGCCCCGCCATGCCCGCCTGGTTAACACCCTCCTCCTTTCTCTGGGTAGCCCGCTTGATCGATGCTCGCTCTGTGGTGGATCTCCAGCTAGCTAGGCTAACACCCTCCTCCTTTCTCTGGGATCGGCTTGTGAGTTGTGACCTTTGTACCTGCCGGTCCGCGCGGCCGGAGCAGCTATTGAGCTATATATGACCGTCTAGACGGATGGGAGGAGCTGGAGCTGGAGCTGGGGTTGGGGAGCAGTCAATGCATATGTGCTTGCGTTGCGTGTGTGGGTTTGGCATCGGAATCGCAGGAGGACAAAGGAGCAGCAACTGATGCTGGTAAAGGTCGTCTGATCGTCTCCATCCGAGGGAGTTGTTGGGCTGTAGACGTAGAGACCATGTTTATTCTATCCCAGCAGGAAAGGAATGCAAGGTTATCAACCTTTGACCGGCAATTATAAATTGATATAATGATAAAAAAGCCAAGATAAGCAATAATAGATGTGAGGTAGCGTTCGGTGACGGAGGAGATGTGGGCGTCCGGCCATTGGGACATGCGGACTTCAAGTCTGGTGTGTACGTACGTATAGGGTGATGTGTGGCGAGGCGGAGTGGAGACGCGTTCAAGCCATGCGCGCTTGCTCGTTGCTACGTTGGACCGCACCGACGACTCCACCGGACTCGGCTCCGGGATCGGCATCGCGTCTTCGGATCTGTTCAGGCCGTGCATGAACGGCATTGCCTCGGTGAGTCAGCGTGGTACCTTTTTTTAAATGATGATATGTCTAAGGACAAAAAAGAAGTAGGGATGCGAGGATCGATTCCGTCATCCATCGATCACTTTGAAATAGACGTACGGAGAGACGTTTGACCTTCCACAAACAATTGGCCGAAATACTCTCAACAAATTGGGGTGTTTGGTCGAAAATATTGCCGAATGGATATAATAATTCTAATGAGATTTAGGACTTGGTCCAGATTAGTCCGTTTCATGCTCCGTAGCTCTATGCCTCTATCATTGATTATAATACGAAACATTATTTTTTTTGAAAGAAAATACAAAAACATTATTGTAATACTTAATGATTGGGGAATAACCCCTTCATTCAAAAAGAAAAAACAAATTATGAGTGAAGCAAGTATTTTCTTTTTATCTCGCGGCAAAAATGTATCTTTTTATCATTTGATTTGGTCACTTGACTCAAAACCGATGAACCTAGATAGGGAAAATTCTATTGAGTGCTCCTTGCATATGATACAGTCTAAGGGCATCTTCCAACGACAACCCATAAATTTTCTTTCGCATCTGTCCATGGATAGGAGGGGATCAGTCCACGGACACTGATGCGCAGGCAGCAACCCAATCGTAGCCGCATACATTTTCATAACAACTCGAATCAATTGGAAGAAATCCGATCAAAACAGGTGAATTTTGCTATAAACACGGTGGATTTCATTGAAACTAGGATAATTTGTACATAAAAATGGAAGATATTTTGCCGGGTGAACTAAAACCTAGAAATAAAACCTTCAACTATCCTATACTTGATGGTGACTTCGTAGGCCATGCCGGGCTGGCCGGCTGCTCCTCCTCCGTCATCATGGCCGAACCCGGCGTCGGAGTCGTCAGAGTCGGGCTTCGGGAGGTGGAAGGTCGCGGCAGGGCTTTCCGGCGGCCGCCCGACGCTCGCGGATGATCCTCTCCGCTTCCTCTTGCGCCGTGCACAGTTCGACCGTGGCCACCGATCAAGGACGTGGGCTGCGGGAGAGGGCGGCAGTCGTTGGAGGAGGGGTCGTTGGCGGCGTCGATCTCTGCGGGGGACCATTCCACGCCATAACTGACCATCTCCCCGTAGAGGCGGCGGAGACGGCGTTTGGTTGTCTCGACGTCGTCACAGAGCATTCCAGGGCCCGGGCGTGGAGGGGATGCCGGCTCCAACTTCACGGGAAGGAGCGTCCCCAGTGGTGGAGCCGGGCCGTTGATGTGGACGACGGAGGGACGGAGCGTCAGCTCCATTTTCTCCTCAAACTCCGCGTCGGTGGCGGTGTCGACCTAGCCTGGCACCGCATGTGCGAACTACTGTGGCGGCGGCTGTTGGTCCTCCTCGTCACCGGAGGAGATCACAATCTCCGCCTTCGTTGAGGAGCCGCCCGCCGATGAGGATGAATGCCCTGGAGTTCGAGGGCGGCGTCGCCACGACCCGCCAGATCCCGCCCCGGAACCACATGTCGGCGCCGACGCCCAGGACTTGCCCATCACCGGAGATGTGGAGGGAGTTGGGCAGGAGAGGGGAGGAGATGCAGGAGGAGGAGGATGTGATGGGACGATGCCGGGGCTCGGCTTATTATTGGGAAACGTAGTAGAAAACAAAAAAATCACACCTACGATCACCAAGATCAATATGAAGATGCATAACGGGTTGGGATCAACGATCATTACCAACTTCGGAGTGCAGCGAAAGAAGAAGAGTCGGTGTAGATCGTGCTCAAAGTCCCTCGAACATTGATGACGATCCCGCAAACCGCCCTCGAACTGAAGACCTAAAGCACGGCCTATCTACTTGGTTGCAAGTGTACGGTCTTCATGATTCGGCAGCGCTTCGCCGTCCAGAGCTAATCGTCGCCCGAGAATTAGAGGGATGAGATTAGAACCACACTGGGCTTCTAATTATGAGGGTTAGACATGGCTAGGGCTAGCTCTAATTAGTCAAGGGCCAACTAGAACTAGAACTAGATCAACTAGAAGAGGCACCCCAAAACTTGTAGTACAAAAGGGTGGAAAACATCGAGTATATATAGGTTTAGGGGGGAGAGGGCAGCCACCAAGGGAGGGGTGCGCCGGCCTAGGGAGGGAGTCCAACTCCCACCCCTAATAGGATTCGCCTCCCCCCCCCCAAGGAAGGGGGCGCCACCTCCACTTGGGCCTTTATGGCGCAAGTCTCCTATCCCCTCTTGGCCTTTTAAGCCCGTTGATATTTAATTAGTATATAAAATACTTTAAACATTTTCAGAGCATTATATATATAATTTAACATCTCCGAAAAAAATTTCCACATATATATAATTAATCGGTAATACCCGGTATTACCCAATATTCACCGAAACCCTTTCGGTGACCCCGAAACGCTTCTAGAACCTCTTGGAACTATTCTGGATATTAATGAAACTATTTCATAAATATATTCTCATCACTCCCATTTCACTAACACTCATCAGATCATGATTACCTTAAGCTTGTGACCCCGTAGGTTCGGTAAAGCATAGACATGAACGAAACTCCTTCATTCAATGGCCGATTTGCGGAACTGTGGACATCCATATCGATCCCTATGATTACACAAATGATATTCGAGTGAACCTTTGGTTATCATGTGACGTTCCCTTTGCTTCGAAATACTTTACAAAACCTGGTGTTCTTCGGTATCCTCCTGGGTCATCACCAGGCCCACTATACCATTGCTTCTATTACTGGTTTTGTTCTTTCTCGTTGACGTGTTCCAGCATCCCTATGACGTAGTCACCTGTGTTTGGCCAGACGATGATGGATGCCATCACATCAAGAGGGCCCTAAGAATATCTCTCCATCGTCGGAGGAGCAAATCCCACTCTCGAGTTGTTCGTTCACTTGTCAAACTTTCCGGTGAACCTGAAAGTTGTCGTTATGATCACCTTGTTACAGATGACATTTGAGTAACCCCAAAGTCCACCGTCTGGTAAGATGTAACCGAGACACTCTCATGGTATGAGGAACTAAAGTACACATGCTAACACTATGTGTTATAACAGATGATTTCAAATGATATGATCGGCATCAATGCCGGCCTCCGAGTGCTCTGGGACGGCATGAATGCGGCGTGGTAAGCAGCGCGTGCATTGGAAGGAAAGCGTGGGAGGTGCGGGTGATGGGTTTTTGGTGGGCCAAGGCGGTCAGAAGCGAGTGTGGGATCGGTCCGGGCTCCCACAAATTCCCCACATGTTTGTCTCCGGTTTGCGGGAGAAATCGCGGTCGGACCACACCGCGGACCGATACAGACCCACATTCGATGGCTTCCTCTGTTTGGACAGCATGCTCCAAACGCATGCGGTAGGTTTGCTGGTTGGCATTGGAAGTGCCCTAAGAGCATCTCTAGCAGATCCACTAAAAGCTTGTTGGCCCGGAAAATTCCGACCAATATGCGGGTTTTGCCCTTTTTACGGCCCGAGTAGGCACAGCATACCGGCCTGACCCGGTCCATAAAAAATATGAGGGGACACTCATATCTGCCCCCTCCTACACTATATCAAATGTACCGAGGAGTATTTAGGGTGAGGCCCCCGGATCCCCTTCGCCACGATTCACTTTCTCCGCTCCTAGGCTTAGACAACTTCGGCAAGTGATACGTCTCCGTCGTATCTACTTCTCCAAACACTTTTCCCCTTGTTTTGGACTCTAACTTGCATGATTTGAATGGAACTAACCCGGACTGACGTTGTTTTTAACAGAATTGCCATGGTGTTATTTATGTGCAGAAACAAAAATTCTCAGAATGACCTGAAACTCCACGGAGCGTCTTTTTGAAAATAATAAAAAATACTGGCAAAAGATCAAGACTAGGGGGCCCACACCCTAGCCACGAGGGTGGGGGGCGCGCCTGCCCCCTGGGCGCGCCCCCTACCTCGTGGGCCCCCTGGAGCTCCTCCGACCTCAACTCCAACTCTATATATTCACTTTCAGGGAGAAAAAAAGTAAAGGAGAAGGATTCATCGTGTTTTACGATACGGAGCCGCCACCAAGCCCTAAAACCTCTCGGGAGGGCTGATTTGGAGTCCGTTGGGGGCTCCGGAGAGGGGAATCCATCGTCATCGTCATCATCAACCATCCTCCATCACCAATTTCATGATGCTCACCGCCGTGCGTGAGGAATTCCATCGTAGGCTTGCTGGACGGTGATGGGTTGGATGAGATTTATCATGTAATCGAGTTAGTTTTGTTAGTGTTTGATCCCTAGTATCCACTATGTTCTGAGATTGATGCTGCTATGACTTTG